GGTGAGTGAAGAAGTACTGCACAGAAACACCTTGCACCACTCAGACTGAAAGCTAAACAGAAGAAACATTTGCTGCTGGTAGTGCTGTGAAGTGGACAGCAGTGAAGAGGGCATTCTACAGTCCATTCTCACCTTCTTGCTTTTAGCTGTTCTGGGGCAAGGGTAGTTCAGCTCTGTTGAACTGTAATTCCACCAGGAGGGAATAGGAATGGGGGAGGTAGGGGAATCCACAGCAGTTGGCAGCTCTTTCAGCCCTCCCAGACTTCCAGCATAGTCAGTCCCCCCTTGTTCTTTTCTACTCAGTTCTTCTTGGGCTTTGACTCTTTGGTGCTTTGCTCTGTTTTCAGTTTAGAAGTCTCTAACAGCTGCAGGTCACAGGTTAGAGCAAGTGGTAGCTGACTCCCTTAATTCTTTTTTGAAAGGGAAGAAGCTGGAAGAATTAAAGAGCAAGTTAAGGAAGTTATTAGGCCAAACCAATAGGTTACCTGATGGAAACAGTCACAACAGTGAGCTGTCTCTATGCATATACAGAGAGTAATACATCTTAAAGAAAAAAAGCTCACAGAAGCATGAAGTCCAACAAAGATCAGTTTTCTTTTGTTCTTCATCTGGAAAGAAGCATAGGAAGGATTCCAACCTAAGACTTTATTTTTGGACATCCAGAGTCAATATAGGTGGCAGGACAATTAAATCAGTAGCAGAATCAGAAAGAAATTATACAAACATCTGAAATGTAATCTCCCAATCTTCATTACCAGAGGATAAAAGATGGTAACTATGACTCAAGTCTTAAAAAGAATTCTAGAGAAAAAAACTAATAAATGGTGGGGGAAAAAAAAAAAGTACAAACTATATCAAATAATAGAATTAATAGACATACAGCTGTAATAAGTTGAGAAAGTCAATCTAAAACAAGGTAATGCATCACAAAATACTGTAACTTGAGCAGTACTGAGAGTGAAGGTTTTCATATGCCAGTAACTGTTTAAATGACTATAAAAGCAGAGAAGGAAAAAAAAATGAACTGTTTTTTCAGGGAGGAAGCTCACCAGTGATGTCCAGTAAAGATCTGAGATGGATATTATACAGTACAACATACTCCCAAGCAATCTAGAAAGGCAGTTTTTGTGAGGCGCCAGTGGATATTGGTGGAACTGCACTGCTTCTAAACGGACCACAGCTATGGGGAAGGGATATGAAACAGCTTTAGGGCTGTAGTGATTAAAATCGGCCAGGACTCTTCAGGGTAGAGATGATGATGGTGAAGGATACTTTAGAGATCTGAAAAGCTAATGACTTGGAGAAGTGAAGAAAGGATCGTTCACTGTCACTAATACCAGAGATAATCATCTTTTGCTCTATCTGATTCAAAAAACCTGGGGCTTACAATTTAACATACAATCTTGCTGCAGAACTTCTCTGTACAGGACTTTTTCTATAAAATATGAAAATAGAAACAACAACCATCAGTAGAAAGGCATTCAGCATCCATTATTGTTATTGAGTTGAAGGGCATCTCTTTGCCACAGGGGAAGCATTATGGGGAGTATCATTACGTGCTCATCCTATTCTGCCCTGGACATCTCCTGTTGGTTACCATGAAAGGATGCTTAGGCTAGAGTGACTTCTTATAGTCCAGCTCTGCACAATCCCATTGGCAGGATTTGAAGAAAACATGGTTCAGGTTCTTACTCAGTATCTTGTTTCATTGCAGGCCATTGTAAACAAGCTGTGGTTTGGTTATGACTTGGAACGTGCCATTTCATCTCCCATCATGCATACCAACAAAGACAGCATCCTGTTTGAGAAACACTTCAGTGAGGTGAGCAGCCTTGGTTGGATCTTCCTGTCATCTCCTTTTGATGGGAAGGAGATTGCTTCTGTAACTCTCCTGGAAAATCAGCATTTTGCTTCTAGCTTAACCTCCTTCTTCCTTGAATCGTGCTCTCTTGACCTGACCTTGCATACACATACTTCATTTCCATGTGTGGAAATGCTAAGACTTCAGGTCCCTGCCCAATTTACTCCATTTTTTTTTTTTTTCTGCTCTCCCTCCTGCAGGATGTTAGAAACAGCCTGCTGAAAAGAGGACACAAAGAACAGAAAGTTGAATTCGCAATGAATGTCGTGCAGGGAGTTTCCAAGGAAGGAAAATGCATCTCTGCTTACTCTGATAAAAGGAAGCTGGGGAAATCAGCTGGATATTAGCATGAAATGCCATCACAATGTCTCTATTCTAGTCAAAACCACAGGAGATAACTAGATTCTGATTCATGCATCTTCCACTGCTGCTGGAGAGCCTCGGTTAAGAACAGAATTGGTTTCTTTCAGGCTGTTGCCAGGATAAGCTTCTTCTAATTACTGGGGCTCAGAAATGTGAAGTAACTGAGTAACTATAGGAAATGTCTGGAGGGTGAGGATTACAATGTATACAATTACTTCCAGGGTGGGTTTAGAAAGAGAAGAAAGCAAAACTTGGTGTTCTACCTCTTGGTTTTCCCATCTAGCTGAGCCCTACTTTTCCCAAAGAATGGCAGATGAAATCAGTGCACCATAGCACTAGCTTGCTGCCAAGCATGTTCTCTGCTTTGAAGACATAATGGAAACCACGAGCTGAAGCCTTATTCTACTCTATCTACTGGTCACCTAAAGTCTAAACTTCCTATGGGGAAATGTGAAGTTGCTGCCCTCAGCTTTGCTCCTCGATGCCACTTCTCCCTGCAGTAGGAGAATGCCTGTTCTTCCTCATTGCCTGCAGAAGAGAAGTAGTTTGGGAAGACAGATGAAGATAGCAGTTGAAGAAATGCTGTATTGCTTTTGAAGCTTTGTAACTTTCTTCAAAATGCAAAGGATGTATTATCAGAAGACTTATTTTGTAAGCATGAGCTTCTTCTGGACAGGCAAACACCAAGACTGCTGAAAAGTGCTGATGCAGTTGCAAAACACTTTTCTTTCTTAATCTGAGTACATGCTCTAATTCTCTGTTTATCACAAATAGTCTCAAGTGTTCCCTAAAGATGACAAGAATGAAACTGTATGACTAGTTGGGAGCTTCTGGAGGAGAGACCTGAACCCATTTATCTAGACTCAAGAGGTCCTTTGCCATTACCCTGTAACCTTGCCCTGCTTAGGATGGCCAAAGGAATCTAATGTTAAAACAACAAGTATAAACATCTCACAATGCACTTCTCCAATAACCAACAACTTCTATTTTCTGAAAGCTCATGAATTTTACTTTCCTATGGATGCAGACAGTATTGTATGAGTGTTTCTGACAGCAAAGTTAAACTAGGTAGGCACTAGCAGAGCCCCTCCTTGCCTCCATGATAATCGTCACCTCCCTTGCAACCCTTGGTATTTCACCTGCACAAACAAAAAACCTTGCTCTGTAGCCACCATAGCAAGTATTTGAGCACAGACAATTAAAGCAAACTCAACCCAGACCATCTGCCTGCACTGTTGTAATCAAAGAGAGGTGAGTAATGAGTCTACATTCCTAACAACAAATTTTGTCAGTAAGTCATTGACTTGTTGAAATCTTGGCCTTCAGATGAATTTTAATGATTTTCTAAGTAAAGCTTCTAGATCTGGACAGAGTAGCCAGACTACTCTGGATCCTGGCTTTAGCAAGATCTGCAGTTATTTCTAGCTTGACCAGCTGCTTAGAGCTTACAGAAAAGCAACCAAAATGGCACTGGCTAAAGGCAGTTCTTGCTTTGCTATTAAGCCATGCCACATCACATCTCACCTCCAGAAAAATCAAGCCATAAAGCAACTGATCCTCCTAATTCTCTTCATTTCTGATGTACCAAAGAGTAAAGCACACCTCAGTTATCCAGCCAATGCAGCGTATCACCTTTCCAGTATGCTACCATCACTGCTACGTCTCACAACAAAGCCATGGGAATATTATCTTCTGATCAGCACCTGCTACAATTTACCTGCTTTGCTATTAATGTTGAAACTGAGCCAATTGAGCAGTTTCAGAACCAGATTTCATTTGCAAGGCAGAAAGGAATGCATGCAGATCACCCACTGCGGCAGCCCTGGATCCCTCACTCACAAAACAAAACATCTTGTGAAGCTGAGATCTGTACCTCCTTCTCACCCTGCCACCTCCTCAGTGCTCCAGAGTCTCCCAGGTTCGTCCCTCCCCATTCGTGCTGATGCCAACAGAAGAGCATTATTTTTATAACTAGTCAAGTCACACGGACTTTTAAAGCACTGCTGTACATAGGCTGCTCTGTTTTCTAACAAAAAGTCTTTAAATTATATTTTTAATAAAGCGTTTAAAACCTTAAACTGTTCCCTAGCTTAAGGCACAAGCAGTTGTTTGAGAGAGGACTTACCTCCTTACTTTCACTGACATTCACCTACTGATACAGAGCCTCAATGCAGCCTGAGGAGTGGAACCAAAGCAGCTGGGAGATGTGCATGCCCTGCATACAGCTACATCCAAGTGAGATGCAGACGGATGCCACAGCATGGGTGAGTGTCTACAGTCTGTTTTAAAAAGAGCAGGATGTAGATTCAAGCCTTCAGTTGGATGTTCAGTTTTATAAATGAGCCCTTTGTAGAAGTACTGATAAGCAGCAATATAAAAAAAAAGCCCCAACCAATGGTTCTGCAGAGTAAAGAATTCAAATGCATTTATAGTAATCATTTAAAACAGAAGTGTTGGTAAAAACTGAATTCTCCAGAAGGGAAATTTTGTAAAATAGGTTATAAATAGGGAAGTTTTCTCACCAGATACAGTAAATTCAGAAGGGAAAGAATGACCTACACGCCCCAATTCAGCAGGAATTTTGCATGTTTGTCATTTCCCACAAGCCAGTTATCCCCATTTCTGAGCACGTGCTACACTGACTGCAGTGAGTGTATCAATGCATCACTTCCACTGGCACAGATGTTGATGAACACAGCGTGCAAGCTCTTGTTCACTGCTGGTGAAAAAGTCCAGCTGAAGGTGGTGACTGTGTTGAAGAATATGACTTCGCAGATGAGAATTTGCTCTAACAGACAGCATTATTGTGCTCTTTGCATCTGTTGTAGTGTCCATGAAAACAAATAGGAGGCAGAGCAACCTCCATCTTTCTCAGATCTCACTTGGCCAAAAGGGCTCAGATTGTTTTATGTCCAGAGAGCCATTTCCTGCAAGTATCAGGGCTGCAGCACACACAGCCCTGTATCCAAACTTCCTACAATACACCTGCACACTGGATTTCAGCTGCAGCCTGCTACTGAGGGACAGCTATCCTAGCATTACAAGAGGTGGAACAGTCAAAGTCACAGTTCAGCAAAAGGAAAACAGCCCAACAACACACAGGTTTGGCCTCACACCAATCTCGTTCTTCCAGGAATACAATGACTGCATTGTTTACAATTAATTACTGCCTTAGCTGCACTGAACACCTCCTCATCAGTAACAGCTGAGGAAATAGACACACAGAGTTGTGTGTTCATCCCAGGCTCCTTTCAGTAAAAGTCACTTACTCAGTTGGAGTTATATAAGCACATACATTCCTCGGTGTCATAACCCCATGAAAAGCATCATCTATCTCACTATCATTTCCTGCCTTGAAGACTCACATCAATTCCAGCAACTACTGAGACAGAGGCAGCATGTAGTGCCTACAATTTCAGGCTTTCATTTTCTCTTCAGTACGTTCTGTATTTTGAGCCTCTTACAGTCTGACAGGAAGTTTCCACCAGCCAAACAGATGCAATTAGTTACTATTACTACTGTTTCCAGGATTTCATAAACACCCCTTAAAGCCTGACAGCGTCTGGGAACACTCATTTCTTGGTTTTAGGCAAAGTTTATATGACATGGTATTTCAGTCCAACACCAACACCTACCTGTGTTTAGGCAGTGACACTGTTAGCTGTTCCAAATCAGATACAGATTACTGACAGTTCACTGACTGATTAATTGCAGCTTACCTTTAAATGACAGCATGCTTTTTAGAGGCTTAGTTTCCTCAGGCCTGCAGTATGATGGGGTAGGAAGCAAGCTGGAGAAAGAACAGGTTTGTTTTGGATATTTAACTATATGTATTTTTTCACTCATAGCTTCATCAAAGGAGCGAACAAGAAAGCAAAATCTCAGGAGAACTTTGTTCATGGAGACTCTCACCATCCCTGTTGACAACATCAGCTGTGTGGGCAAGAAAAATACGTGACACCATTTTTATTTGTTTTAGTTGTGTTCAGTTTTACAGGTAGTATCTTCCCTTTAGACCTTCTCAACAAAAACATAAGAAAGGTTGAAGCCATTTCCCCTGTTACCCACTCATCTCCAACAATCAGCTGAAGTGAAAAGCAGAAAACATCTTTTTTAAAAAAAGAAAGAGTGGTGAGTTTGTGAAGGCTTATCCCAGTTTGGAGTCAAGCTCCCTCCTATGGCATGGGTCTATTAGTTTGTCCTCAGGGTCCTGTAACTCCTGTCTACACAAATAAGGAGGAAATCTCTTCTCTAGTTGTGACAGGGACATTCCTCCTAGCTGAAACACTTCCAGGATGGAGAGGATGCAGGAATCAAACTCTTCAAGGCAGGACAGACTCTCCGAGTAAGTCACATCCTGGTAGAGATGTTTGTTTTAGCAGGCTGCTGTGGCACACGAGGCACTTCAGCTGTGATTGTTGAGAACCTCAGTCCCAGTTCTGTCAATAGAACCACAGGCAAATTTGTTCCCTTTCCTGTTAAAGTCCCTGAATTGCAGACCTAAAGGATCTTTCTTCCACACACATCTCAGTGGCGTTACTGCCCTGATGAAGAGGAGCTGAGCTGGGTCAGTATCCTGCAGGGATGCCACCTTTCCGGGAATCAGAGGCTGCAGCCCATCCATCATCTGTTCTGAGAACGGCTTGCACAACCGACATGCCGCTGCCCCCCCGTGTGGTGTTGTGTTTTCTCATCCGTAGCTGTTCTTCTACACTCTGGAATGCAGAAGAGCATGAGGACAGCGAGAGAGAGGAACTGCACATGGGCTGGATTCTGTGTCCCGAATCCTCCATGCAATCTCCAGCATGCAGTGCCTGCATTATGTAGGTCTCCTAGAACTATAAGCTGTTCCTCTTCTGTGGGACTGAGACTAAAAGTATACTCGAACAGCCCAGATAAAAAGCTCACAAACACCCCAACCTTCAAATCAGACAAACCTCCTCTATTTGCTCCTCAAGCTCCGTGATGTCGGGAAACAGCTGATCATGAATTCTGGGTTCTTCCACTGCTTTCTTCACATCATAACCAAACCAGAGGGAATTGATGACTGCCTGTGAGATGCAAAAAACCTTAATGTTAGCTCCTTGCCTTCAAAGAGACTTGATCCTTGCAGCAACAAGGGCAGAGATTTCTGAAGGATGTTCACTACAGAACATAGAGGATCTAAATTGTAGTTCCCTCTTCTTCCAGTGCTCCCTCTCATGGGTACACTGCAGCAAGTCTGTATATATTTAGGATGATTCCCTCACAGAGAGACCACGAATGGCTAAAATGAACACAGGAGAAGGATCAGATCCTCAGGCTACTGTAGCTGGATTTATCCTGCTGTGAGTAAGGCACTGCTGGCTTGTTTGGCACACAGCAGTCACCTCAGTGTAAACATACACTTACAGCTTCTTGCTGCTGTGCAACTGGTTTTCTTAAACCTGGCCCACCCCTGCTTGCTAAGATCACAGCTTGAAGCTGCTGGCAAGTGAAAATAGTGAAAATCAAGAACTTCAGAAGCTGCTTGTAACAACACTTCCTGCAGAAACTTCAGCTCTACCTCAGCTAGAAAGCAGGACCCAGTGTGATGCTCTGAATGGCTGTGCACTTGCACAAGGAGACAGCTTTCTCCCATTGTTACTTTGGGTCTAACTGGGCCTTTCAATGGTTGTCACAGCAGCTCATAGGGACCCTGCCTGGCAAAAGTTCTTAGCTCTTCTGCACAACTTTCATCCATAATATAGCAGCTTGGATGAGAATGGCTCTAAACTCATCATTGAGACTGGTTCGTAGAGATCCAGAAGTCAAACCTAAACTAAAGTCACAAATCTCTTGCAAGTGATGAGAAAACTTGCCAAAGGAAAAGACCTGGAGTCACAGGAGGCCCTTTGTCCCTTTGGCAGGAGTTGGGTTTGGAGGTCTGGCCCTCTGAAGGCCAGGCAGGAGCCTCTCTTTCAGCACCCAGCCTTGCAGCAGGAAGCCATGGCTACGGTCACATCACAGGCAGAGACTTGAATCCTTTACCCCAAACATTGCCTCCCCCCAACTTTGCTTTGTCCACATCATCACGTACCAATGCTGTTGCTGTGGTTATTTTTGCTCCTCCAGAAGCACCAACCACCATCCTGATCTTTTTTGTTTTATCCATCAAAATGGAAGGGCACATGGAGGACAATGGCTGTTTACCTGTTAGGGACAGAGATGCAACAGAGGCTCAGTTTTCTGCCTGTAACTTACAGACTGCCAGCTCCTGCTGCACATCTAAACCCAAAGTCTCCTTATCCGCCTTCATAACTCATCTCATGTTTTGTTCATCCCCTGAGTGTCCCCATGTCCCCTGTACACATCTCCTCTTTGCTCCCACAGTACAAAGCTTAACCCTGGTCTTCTGTGCAGGGGAGCTGAAGGCTCCTTCATCTATGATGCTGTTTCAGTTGGGGTTGTCTGTCACACAGCTGCCTCTCCAACACCACAGGACTTCCCTTTCTGTCCTTTCACTTCCCTGTCTCCCTCCAAAGCATAGGTACAGGAAGGTGGCAGAATCCCAGCCCACATTAGCTGCAGTGAGATGGCTCTGCAGGAAGCAGTGATGGAGCAGGGAGGGAGCTTAAGTTAGGGGCATGAAATGGATCTACAAGAAGCTGCCCTACAGATCCCAGTAGAGCACAGAAAGACAGCTGATAGTGCATACTAATGCAAGATACAGCTTCAATAATAAGATAGGAAGGTAGTTTACAGCTACCTGGTTCTATGAAATTTGCTGGAGAAGGAGCGATCCCAAATCCATTGATAATGTGAGGTGAGCTGAAGTCATCCATCTCATCATTATATATGATTCCATTCACACTGGATAGTACATCAGAGCCAAAGCTAGACAAAACAAGTTGGCACAGACACGTCAAAACCAGGAAGAACTTCAGGTGAATTACTGCAATGTGAAAGCTGGGAGTAAATCTCCACTCCCTTCTGTTGGAAAGAACATTCCGTCACCCTTTGTGGGGAAGGAAGCAATTCATACCAGGAACACACAACTACACGGAGAGGAAAGGCAGACCCAGAGTGCTGCTGTATAGCTCCCCTGCACGGAACCTGAAGACAGAAACAGCACAGCAGAGAAATACAACTAATTCCCTTCCCAGCCGGGCAGTCCTGCACTCCTTTTAGAGGCAGCATAACTCAAAGGCAGCCACATTTGGGAATGGTTGGCATTTTGCTTAGATGTGTCAAGCAAGAGACTTTTTCTATGGACTGGAAAAAACCCTCCCCTCCCTTTCCTCCCCTCTTTCCCCCCAGCTTTAGGCCGTATTTACAGAACGCAGCTCTTCCTGACAGCACCCAAAGCCAAACGCTGCACTTTTAGGCCAGCTGCATTAACTCAAATTCCTTCCAGATGCCTGGGAAATCAGAGCCTGCAGCGATAACAGTGCGTATGGGAAAATCCAGATGCAGTGGATGTTTCCTTGGTGAGTGAACCCAACACAACAGAGGACAGGACCCCACTTCACACATCTTGTGCTCTGACCCAACTACACAACTCTCAGCAATAAGAACTGACCTACACGCTCAGCAGTACAAGTGCCTATTAACAGATGCTACCCATCACTGCCCTGCTACAGAGATGACAGCTCAGTGAGGTTTTTATACCAACCACAGAACCACCACTAGGAAGATGGCAGAGGCCTACACAGAAGCAAGATCTGAGCTCATACTATTGGTTGATGGTGCTGGTGGCGGACACAGCACTGCCATCATCAGCCACAATGGAGAGGTGGGATGTGCCGGCACTATCTGCAGTGTAATATTCTGGCTCGTAGTATTCAATTGGATGGGAGGTGTTGTCTGTGATTTTCCTTCGGAGACTATCCGCAAAGAACTCAGACGTCATGTTTCTGATTGCCTGTCAGAGAAATCCAATGCAGTTACTCAGCAGATTAAGAGCCATGTAGTTACGAGGCTGATATCCAACACTTCAGACCACAGAAGAGTGGCAAATCCCAGCAGTGAGGCTATAGATTTCCAGCAGGGGTTTTCCTTCTTCTTGAGAGATGGACATTGTACCAAAGAGCATTTTAAGCAGTCACGGAAGAAGCTGCACAATGCACCCCTCTGTGTGGGAATTTAATCAGTATCCGTTACTGTAGATCTATGGAAAGCTGTCCTCAACACTGCTGTAAAGGTGTAGGCAAGCACTGCTACACTTGCTTCAGAGATGAGAGAAGAGGGATCAGGTTGAGAGGACTAGACCAAGGCTCTGGTCATAGCTTGGTAAGCTGCAAATTTGTGTCCATCAGGCTGGGCTGTGCTCAGATCCTGCTGCTTTTGGAGACTCACGAAGTAAAAGCACAAAGTATGAAGTTGGGAAAAGCAGGGATCCTGCCTCACCCCTTCCCATCCGTAGGTCCACTTACTATAGGCAGGACTGTGGTTAGAGAGCTACAGGGGTGCTGGGAGTATCATCTACTGAATAAGACTCCAAAGACTAAAAAAACAAGGGAGGGTTAGCCCTGACCAAACTCCTGGTCAATTGAGGATTTTGTGCTTCCTAACAGCAGAAAAGTTTCCTCCATTTACATCCCTCACAGCTTAGCCACTTGATATTCAGAGATATTTCAGTTTAGTCACCCAAAACCAAAGTGTCATGTTCCAGCCAGCCTGGGTGTTGCAGAAAGAAAAAGCTTTTGCCAGGTACCTCTGTAACGTTGACAAACTTTGGATCTCCCAGCAAAGTCCTCTTGGCGTAGGCAAAGCGAAAGGCCTCCGCGATGCGGTGGTAAGTCAGACCTTTCTCCTCCACGGTTTTGATGCTGTCAGCAGAGAAATTATATCCTGGTAACAGGAGACAAACCATTGTGAACACAAAGGAAAAGACGTTCTCCATGGGGAGCTAATAAAGCTGTCAGGTGGGGCCATCTTTAGTCCTGCTGCCTGTATGGCATTGCTCACTGGCACTCTTACCTTTCAGTATGTTGAAAATGAGGGCTAACACCGGGCCGCTCAATGGGGCATTAGCTGTGTATAGGGTGTAATCTCCAAGTTTGACCTCTATAGGTTCTTCTACTGTTGCTCTGTAGTCCCGCATGTCTTCCATCGTGATAATGCCCCCTAGAACAGAAAAGGAAACCATAGATTTGATTTTGTGATCCCTGGTGGGAAGGGAAGGTAATACTCTACTGCCACGCAGCACAGCAAGAACAGAAGGGGTCACAGATAAATCCAGAAAGTTGCAGAGGTGGTGAATTTATTCCTTGATAGATCCAGCTGAGGCTCAGGTAGCCTAGTATTGAAGCTGGACTAATTTACAGCAGCCAAAAGGCTGGTGATCCATCTATTTCTATAAAGGACACCAGCAATGTCAAGGAACAAGATGTCCTTTAAGAACCCTGTTTACAAGAGAAGGATGCAGCTTTTGAGTGCAGATGCTTTGTGCTACTCCACAAGCAGAAAAAACATGTATGTTCCAATGCTTTTCTTATCAGAAAGGGGAAGACAGTAATTAGCCACCACAAATAAAGCCAGGAAATGACCTATACACTGGAAATTCACTGAAGCTAAGGAACGCTAGCTAGTAAGAATAGGATCTTACCACCATCTAGTGGTGCTGAGTGATTAAACACGTTGAGAGTATACAGGACCATGTCTGTATTGTTTGGGGTAGAAGCTCGATGGACTCAGGCTCCATGCATCTACTATACTACGTCCAGGAACACATAGGCTTGCTAGACTTACGGTATAGAAATATACTGTCCATTTCTGACCGAGTTTCAAATGCAACCATTGAAGTACTAATGGCTTCTTTTGTGCCTCCTGTTGCCACAGACCTCAGAGGTGGGATATCAGGCAGCAGGCATGACCTGCTTCCAAGGCTTCTGCAGGTCAAAGCTCCTCCCTGCACACGAAGCTGCAGCACTCAGGTCACTCACGCTATTTTGGACAGATGTTCTGTTTCTTACCTACACTCTGGATGTCAGCGATGATCTGTTCTGCCAGGCTTCCTGTGTAAAAGACATCTGCTCCTTCATCAGCTATAGTCTGGTACGTGTTGGCAAGTTTAGGCATCTTGACAATATCGCCCTCCTGCAGGATTTTCCCATCTTTGCAGAACACTTCACTGACAGAGAAAGGAGATTAAGAAGACCAGATGTGAGAGACACGTTCAAAACCATGTGTACCTGTACCAGCTAACAGATTTAGTCAAATCTGTCTTCACGTTGTCGTCTTGGAGAGAGGAGGAACCGCCTGAGCTATGCCCCTTGGGTCTTGATATCTTTCATAGAACATAAAAGCAAAGAGCAGTTTCTCAGAATTTGCTCAGTGAAGCCTGCAGAAGGAGTGTCAGTCTTTGTCTCGATGCAGTCCACTCTCCCTGCCTGTTCCTTGGGTTAACAACTGCCTCAGGACACCCAAAAGGACCGCTGTCCTTGAAGCCAAGCAGTTCAGCTCAGAGCACAGGCTATGAAGCTACAAGGCTCAAAGCTTCCAGTGAGTACAGGAGAATGCATTTGGATTCCTAATGAGCACTTTCAAATAGACAGGTCCCTGTCCAGTTCCCTCATCAGCAATCACGGAGGTGATTGATGCTGCTGGCCTGCCAGAAAGAAGAACAGGAGCACAGGCATCCCATTTACATTACAAACCAACCTGCAGCCAGCAGGAAAAGACTAAGCACGATCTCAAGTCGAGCTGGACATAGACACCATGGGACTGCAAGAGGAAGTGCATTTGAAACCCTTCACGCTCACAATCATTGCCAGAAGTGGATGATCAGAGGCATTGCTTTGGGAAGGCTGACTGCAGAGGAAGAGATGACCCAGAAACTCACACCCTGACAACAGAGGAGATATTCAGGGAGAGGAACATGCTTTGCAGTTGCTCGAAAGACAGGTAGGATTAACTTAGGGTGCTCAGAGCATGAGGACAGGCCAGGGATTCAAACATTGCCATCAGATTTATCCCAGAAATTACTTCAGCTCCATCTCTGTTCAGTCAGCTTTTTCTATGCAACTGCTCTACCTACCATAGTAAAGGATTGCTTTCAATTGACTGTTGTTTTGATTTCATGGCAGATGCAAGGCCTTTCCCAATAGGGAATCCTTCTCTTGCCAATTTGACACTGGGCAGAAATAAGTCTCTCCAAGGCAGTTTGCCATGCCGTTGGTGTGCCAGTTCGTAGCCACGGATTTCTCCTGGAACAGCAATGGACAGTCCTCCTGGAGCAGAGAAGAAATGTGTAAGTCTTCAGTAGCAAGGAAGAAAAAAAAAAAAAGAAAAGAAAAGAAAAAAGAAAAAGCAGTAATGTAGAGGAGGGGTTATCTATTGGCCTTGGTTTTAAGCAGGGATCGTGCATACTGTCACTGGCTCAGCCCATGCATGCGATGCTAACAGGATTATTGATATCTCTACCCTCTAGCTGGTGATTCAAGTGTTTGGGTCATTTTTCTCACTTTTCTGTATCAGAGCAAAGCTACTCAGAACACAGAAGGCATCATACCTGCCTGCAGTTCCCAGTCCTTCAGAGTTGAATACACTACAGTAAGAGGGCACAGCTGTATGTATATGGCAACGTCCAGACATGCACACACCAAAATTTCTTTTGTCACATTGCAGCAGCAATTGCAATAGACTGTCTACACTGCACAATGATACAGCAGTTTGCTTCAATCCTGTTTTTACCAGCATCTCCCAGAAGTTCAATACGCTTATCAGCCCTTCCCCAAGGCTCCATTCCTCTCCAGTTCCAGGAGTCACCATCAAGGGAACTGGAAAGAGCTTTTGCCTTTACCTTTCTGAGAGATCTGCGTGTTGTTCCCAAACATGCCTTCTGTTGCTCTTTTAGGAGCCACCTCTCTCGCATTAATGATTTCCACATTTCCTTTAAAGACAGAGGAAAGAAGATCACGTTTAGCTCTGAACTCAGCACCAGTCACAGTCTGTGCAGAATAAACCCAATCACTGCGAAGCAGTTTCTTGGCAGTTATTCTGTGGACAGCCTCAGAGATTGGGAAAGTCAGTACCTTAACTCAGGTAGCATAAATCACCCCTTTGTGCTTTAGGTGGAGGGGCAGAACTATTCCAGATGTGTGTAGCCCTATCACTTACCTGTACTGTTATAGATGGTAAAGAAAAGCCCTCCTCCAATGCCCATGCTGTGAGCGTTCATGAGTCCTACACAGAGCAGAGCTGCAATCGCACCATCCACAGCAGATCCACCTTGCTGAAGGATGTCCCTGTGCAGCAGAAGAGAAGCATCTTATGGCAACATGGCCACAGTGAAATCTCAGCTATCCGTGAGCTCTGGAGTCACCTCATCAGAGCAGATACAGCAAATCTTCTCTCATGCCCATTTATCTGCACCTGATCTATGGGTTTCCCACAAACAGCTTTGGGCTTCTATCACCATAGACGAGAGAACCTGATGGTCCCCAGACCAGACTGACCTTCATTAAAAAGACATTCAAACTAGCCTGAAAGCAGCAAGATGTGTCAAAGCACCTGGAGGAGACTGGCATTCCAGCCACATCCATCATACATGAGAATAAGGAGTCCTGAAATCTGCAGCATGTACGTCTAGAACTGGAGGACAGCTTAACAAAAGCATTTCAAAAGAGTTTGAAAAGCATCTCCCATTCCTATTGTTTCTGTGCCTAGGGAATCTTTGTGTATTGTACTGCCTTTGAGCAACTGCATTAACATTGGTTGGGAATGGTAAGGGCCCAGGTTTACCCACAGCCTCCTCATTCTACAGGGAGCTGAGTGCAGCTGCCAAGGTCGCATCTGTGCATCAGTGAAACAGAAGAGTTTTGTCTCGTCTCAAGCGAGAGCTTCACAGATAACAAGAACAGTGGCAGAATTAGTGATTACCTTCCAATTATTGAGCACGGCCCTGCATCCGTAGCCACAGCTGCCCTTTTATAGATGTGTGTGTCCTCTGAGTCAGAGCGCAGCCCGAAGAAGAGCGCCAGGAACAAGATGAGCCCCAGCAGGACTGCAGTCAGGACCCCAGTCAACACATAGCGCTTCCTCATCTTTCTGTGGGAAGAGACAGGATCATCAACCTTGCTGTTTCTGGGGCTGCTAGGGAGAAGGTGATCAGGCACAAGAGGAGGTTTGTCGTCTGTCTTCTTCCATATCCACTGTTTCTCCTCTTTCCCCAGCAGCTGGCAGCTCTGCTGCTGGATGGGTGATTTTGGAAGGAGTGAGCAGAGGTAGTGAGAGCCCAATTCTGCCCTTGAGAGGTACATCAGAGTGATGTTCTTCCTGCTTTTCCAGCCCTTGCTTGTCAGTGAGTTTCTATGGACTGCTGAGCTGCAGGCAGTGAGCAGCTACCTCCTTCCTTGGACCTCTCATAGATGCCCATGCTCAGATTCATATTTCCTATGAGCACTGCTGTTATGGTTTCTCTGTGCAGGACGACTGTCGTAACAACTCCAAAGTTTTTACCAGCTTCCCTTTTACCCCTTACTGCCACACCATTTGCAGAGCAGTCTACTTCACTGAGCACTCCAGAAACTTCTGGAAGCCTCTGGGTAACAGCTTCAAAGTATTAAAGTCCCTGAAATGAAAAAGCCCCAAACCAGCAGCTACGACTTAGGTAACAACCTGTCTGTGTTAGTTTTTGAGTCACATCATTTCAATGAGAAAACGGAGAGCTTTAACCTCACTGACCACTACAACACACATCCTAATCACTAACCCGAACTATTTGGCCACAACCACAACACCCTCCTGCTCAGGATCCTAGGCTAGAGTAGCTTTCCCTTGAGGCTGCCACTTCCAGAAGGCAATTGCCAGTGCTGACATCTCCATATTTTTCCATCCTGCACAAAGATGCTCTTGGGGTGCACAGGGTTACTGTTCATCAATGGGTGAACATTGGACACTGAGCAGACCTGCAGCAAGGGTGTTCCAGGCACACACCAGGATAAGTTAAGAGCTATTGAGGGGATGGAGAGTCATTGACATCTTGTTAGGACTGACACTTCATGAATAATAACTACTCTTTGACCCATTTCCTTTCCCCTTATAGAACTATTCAAGCAAAAAGACCTAAATTCAACATAGCTTTTTCAGGGACCAGCTTCCCCCCAGTTCAATGCAGTTATCACCATGACTACTATATTTGTGCAATAGCCAAGAGATACCTTTTACCTTACCAAAGCACCTGCTGTCCTCAGAGACAAACCAATCCATGGCATTGGGAGCAAAGAGCAGATCCACCAACCCCAGCCTCTGTGGCAATGCAGCTGCCCAAAGCAGAGGAACCTCCAGCAGTCGGAGCAGCACTTGGTGCCTTGCAAAGCAAGGAGGCAATGAGTGTGCCAGTGCTGACCTAACAGGAGGAAACAGGCCAGGCCAGCCAAAATGAAGCACTCCTCAAAGGGAGGAGATTGGCAAGCGCTGTCCCTCAGCCTCACTCCCATTCTGCTTATTTCAAATAAGGGAAAATCCATTTTCTATCCAAGCCTTTTCTCTGCGAGTCTCAGAGCACAAAAGATGTCTGCTTCCAAGTAAGGCAACTCAAATCAGGGTGTCAGCGTGCTGTATGTGCTGTTCTGTAAACCAATGTCAACCAAGGTCAGTGAAAGGTAAATGGATGAAACCTCTTTCCAGGTTCAGAACTTGATTTACACTCAACTACTTTTAAAAGAGACTGCTGGTGTGTTTGCAGAGCAGTTGCTGCGCAGGGAAACAGAGAAGCTATTATGTCCCCAACAATAGCTCACACACAGCCTCAGAGTTTAAAAACAGTTTTGTTTGTTGGCTTCAGCACTGGCAGTCTCCTCCAGGCTTCACAAGAAATGCCATAGGATCTTTTATCTGCACTCCAGCTAGGCAGAAGGTACTTTGTTTCATCTGGGCTGTCCCTCCAGCCCCTGGTGACCCCAGCTCAGTGCTGACATGTTAACCCATCAGCTCCTGCCTTGGATTGCATGGCTCTCCATGGCTGCCTGCCTTGTTGTAGCTGTGCACCTGTGAAGATTTGCTGCCTCGTCATGCAAGAGCACCAGACCTCAGAACTCTGCTCTCTCATTTACCTCTGAAGAGCCTTTGAAGAGCTCAGTGCTGCACGCTGTTGGGTGAGTGCACCAACCTTAAGGAGAGCCCTCCAGTTCACTTCATGCCCCAGGCACAGCTCCCAGCTGGCTGCCAGCCCCAGGCATTCTGTCCTGCCCAGCAGAGAGAGCAATCTCAGGTGAGAATAATCCCCTCAACCTCCTGCTCAACTCCCACAAGCTTTGTGACCTCTTTTGCAGGCACACAGTTTATCCTGTGTTCTGTGTGCAGTCCAAACTGCCTTTCTGGTTGTGGCACAGCAGAACCCAACAGCTCTTGTTTCCCATGCAGCAGTTGGGAGACAGATCAGAAGCCTGCAGATACCTGCTCTCTCTCCACACCTGTCCCATCTCCTTACTCAAACAGTGGAGTTTTTGCACCCGTGCTCCTTTCGAGCCCCAGCTCTGAAGTGCAGCTATGATTTTCTGCAGGGAGACCTCCAGACCTCTGCCAAATGCAGCTGTTTGGGAGCTTGGGTAGCATTGCAGTCCGAGCAGCAGCCCTTCTGGAGAGAGGGGCTATAAGGCCATTAAAAGCATCATGCTCATTTCCCAGTGTCATAAAGGATCCACTAGCCAGTCTTAGCCATGAAATGTAACGTGAATGCTGAGATTCACTCAGAACCCAGCAAAGAGTACAGTTACACCTGTATGAGCAACCCCACTTGTGCCACAGTCAGATGTCACAATTTTCACAGCTTTGTTTAAACACAACTGCAGGTTTTGAGCTGAAGGAGTCCTGGTGCAATAGGACAAGCAGTGCTGGGCTGAGGTCAGAGCATGTGAACTGCTCTGTCAGTGGTGTGTGGGTGTGCTGCAGGGATAGGGAACTTGCCAGGGTCAGGGAAAACCCAGGAGAACTAAAGGAGAGGGAGTGAACCCAAAGTCAAATGCATAGCAGTAACATTACCGTATTTAAACAGGTATTAGTAACCAAGAATTGAAGTATTGTTATCATACCTTATTGCTCCAGAGAACCATCAGTGGCTTTTTTTTTTTTTTTTTTTTTTTGGCTGACAGCAGAGGTCCCATTATTAATCCACCATTATATGACAACCTAACGAAGGTGCCCACAACTGATCACATAGGTGGAACCACCTGAAGCATACAGAAGACCCTAAAACAGCTGCTTGGGCTGACACTTCAGGATCAGGTATGCACATCCTGCCTTCTTGCACAAGATCTGTTTTAGCAGTTGCTTCCTAGAGCTGTTCCCAGCAGCCTACCATGGGGCCAGGCCACATTTAGACATCAGCAAGTGACATGTGTTCCCATCAAGCTGTTGCTGGGTCCCCAGTGCATCACTGGGAACTCATGGAGAGGTGGTGTAACAAACAGCAAATGGTTCACCTGTGGGAAGCCTTAGCACCTGGGGTCTGTGCTCACACCTAATTAGCCAGATGACTGTTTAAATCCATGGGTATAACTGTGCTAACTTCCCTCAGCTGTCACTAAGAACAGCAGGCAGCAACTTCAGCTTTCATCTGCACGAATATCCAGACTCATCATCCTCTGAGCAGCTAATTAGCTGGGGTTATTTGCTCCAAGAGAGCTTGCATTGAAGAAAACTAGGACAAAAGCAATACAGAAAGTACACTACTGCAGTCCAGAACTAATTCTGTGAGTTTATCCGTTCCTTCCTCTTACAAAGGGAAAAAAGGTAGTGAGATCTATTTGTTACTGTGGGCTATCCTTACTGTACCTTTGCATAAATTTCTGTTTTTTAGCAATTCCATATGATGTAGCATGATGCTGGCTAACTCTTCAGAATCTTTTGCCCTTTTCCTACTAAAACTTTTTTTTTTTAATGTCTTCCAGGGCATGTTCTGCCTTGTCCTTATATATCAGACCTGAAGCTTACGTTGTCCATTCCCAACCAAGCACTCCTTCATTACATAATTCACAGGTCTTAGGTTGTGGAAGGCTAATATATGGTATAATCATGCAAAGACAAGAGGATAATCACCTTACACAACGAGGACAGAACTAAGATGATAAATACACCTTTTACATCCAATTTGCCTCCTGCCTGCCAGGTTAGAGCTCCCTGCAATGGAATCTTCACATCTCTCCCCAAATAATCCCAAAGCAGCAGTGAGCTGCTGCAGGCTACTTATTCCTGGGCAGAACTGGCTCAGATGCAGTATTTCTACCAACAGGTTTGGGTTAACCCAAATGGCAGAGAGCTTTGTGACTCTGTTAGCCATCACATGTAACCCTGCTCTTCCAAGGCTCGGCTGGAATAGACATAAGCTTCTAAGCACTTTCCTTTTGAGAACAAAGATAGAAGGGCTTGTTCCCCTGCGCCTTCCATCCCGTAGTCAGACACAAAGGTCTGACTTTCTCACATCAGCCTCCCTATTGCAGCCTTGCCCTGCAGTTACTGCAATAAGACATGTACTTAAGGCACTTGAGATTCCAATCTACAAGTTCATGTGCTAAATACTTTTTCCCCTTAGGCCTTTTACTCAGTAGCAGCAGCTGGGATGCCTCTGATCAGGACTCTGGTTCTCCTACACTCACCCATGCAGACAGACAAGCAGAGTCTCCTGCCAGGTACTGATCTCAATGGGGAGCAGCAGGCATTTTTCCATAACTATTCCCATTTTGTCCACATGATGCCCTTGAAAGACTTGAAACAAGTGATCAACAGCTGCCTCTGCTTACAAAGGAAATCCTTCCTGATTCAAGTTTTACACAGACTGCTGTGGAGAACTGTGATGTAAATACTGAAGTAGTTGGGATTCAAAACAAACAAACATATTCTAAATCTAAGCCCTTTTTTGGGGTCACAGAATGAGACAGGTGTTATGCTCTGGTGTTAGGCTACAATTTAGAACTAATACATTTTTGTATTCACTCACCAGGAGATATTCAAGTTGAAGTCTTACGCAGTTTTCATCTCCACCAGCAATAAAGAAATTAAAGCAAAATTCAGTCAAACCATAAAGAAGCTCAAAGAGGCTTCCAAACTCAGGTCTGGGCACTGGTCCTGCCCAGAGCAGTGGCACAGAGCAGTCCCCATGGACTAACCCTATGCTGCTGCTTCACTAGAGAAATACAACAGCCCCATTCAACCTTTCTGCACAGCCAACACCTCCATGTCAGCCCCTCTCCCACTGCCTGCACCCTTTACACCTTGCTGCCTCCCTCTCCTCAAGCACAGCTTAAGTCTTCAGCATTCTCTGCTTCAAGCCTGGCATTGAGGTCTTACAGATGCACGCAGGTAGAAAGGCTTCAGATGAACTCTATGAGGCCATGATGTCAAAGCCAGAGATAATCCAGCATCACAAAAAATGGATACAAAGTCATTCAGAACATTGCTGTTCCACTCACCTCCAATTTAAAATCAAAACGTTTAATTAAAATAGTTTTATTCTCCCACCACTTGCAAAATATGTTTTCAGAATATCTTCTTCCAATAAACTGGGAGCTGTTTATTAGAACTGGGCTTATTCAGATGGAATAGTCAGGTCCTATTATTCTCTTTATGTAAACTTTCATCTGATGTACCAAAAAAAAACATACTGTTCCATGTTCTGCTGCTGAAGAAAACCCAAACAGCACCTCAAGGCTGAGGATAATGGCTCAATTTATGTCATTTCTAACTTCCCCTTACCTCTCAAGAGTATTTCCACTGATCTGTTCTGTCCTTTCACACAGATCCTTATTTACTGATATCCTTTGAATATCCTTTCTGAAGCAGTGAATCCCTTTTTTGAGCAGTATGTTCCAGTAGCACTAGCAGTAAGCACTTGTCTTTCCTTAAAAGCTCTCCAAAGCTTGCTGTACTATTTGATATTTGTACAGCTCTACTTGCAGAGATTAACCCATTGAAACTCATTACTTTTGCATTCACAGTAGTGGAGGAATGCTTAAGTAATCATTGACTAGGTGAAGAGTCAAGAGCCAACACCCTTTAATATGCATAGCTTAGCACTCATAAATGTTGTCTATCACCAGCAGAATTATTATTCATTTTTTGATTCTTTTACTGCATGTAAACTACATGTAAATCAAATCTTTGTACATCAAAGATCAATCTTCCTGTATCTTGGTGACAGCTCTTAAATTCTGGCTAAGCAACTGAACAAATATATGGTCACACCAAGTGCCCATCTCCATAGGGTCCAGTACAGTCAGTACTCCTCTTGCCCAACCAAATGGTGCCCTTGTAGTTTGCATTTGGGTTTTTAAGTGTGCCTTGCAGATTAAACCCAGACACACTGACAGATTTAGCTGTGACAACGTTTGATTGGAGTGTCCTCTGCCAACCACCTGCCATACAAGGTCACTGATCAGTTCTTCAGCAATCCCAGCTACACGCTACCTTAAACCATCATCACTTTTAGTTCAGCTTAATGCTCCAGCTGCAATAAGATGACACACTGCCTGTTCTACCACCCATTCCCATAGCAGGGAGGATAACAGAGGAGACATCTAGAGATGGAGAAACCTGTCCTCTACCACTAAATCTCACTGAAGCTTTTGAGCAATAATCCTGTGTCTGTTTGCACTGCTTCCTGTTGCAGATCAAAGATTGCAGCTCACTTGCCATTGAGCAGCATAGCATAAACCCCAGCAACAACCCAAATTCAAAGTGCAATATCTGCCCTTGAACTCTAATTACTCAGCAATGAAAGCTCATCTCCCTGCTGCTGTACACATCTTGATAGGCAGCTCAGAGCCAGCTTGAACACAAGAGTTCAGCGCCCATCCAGAACACAGCACAGACAAATCATAGCCTGCCTAAAATTTGGTCAAAGCAGGGCTCCAACCCCTGCATCCTAAGCTGGTTCTTCAGTCAGCAGGCTGTCCTGCACACACTGGATGAAGCAAAATCTGCTTGGATACCAGTCAGCTCTCCTAGATGCTATCTTTTAACCGACCAGGATCAGTAGTTTAATGTCTCAATTCCAAACCTGTCCAGTTCCTCCATCCCAGTCCAACCTTTGACACACTGGATCCTTACTTACATTAGAAGGACAGTGCCTGTACTGCAATGAATCATGAACAAAATCTGTCTTAGCACCAAAGGTAAAAGCTTTGGGAACACAAGCCATAGCTCCTCCACTTAAAATTACATCTCCTTTCTATTCAAATTCTTGTTATGAAACACAAGCATTCCATCCTTGAGATATTTGGAAGGGAGTTAGCATGGGTCCATCTTCAAAAGGGACTTTCTAGTACCCCTCTAAATTAAGTGTGGAAAGATATTTACTCTTTGCCCCAAACAAACTAAAATGTACTTTTAGTCTCTCACACCTACGTGAAGGGATGGGGAAAAGAACTTTTACTCTTTGCCCCATTGCTGAAAGTCAAATCCTATGGCTTTTCTTTAAGGGCAGTGCAGTCTCATCTGTGGCACATCCTCAGCAGTGCAGAGTTGGAACAAACTGGATGTTCCCCAGCAAGTTACTCTTTCACTTATGTACAAGTAGGAGAGTTGAAGATGGGGTCAGAGGATGTTAAGAAATCTGAAGGTAGTACTTCTGGTTCTGGTAGGTAAATAGTTTGCTATGTACACGTACAGCTACAGCATTTCAATTGTACGTGGTTTTGGGAAAGTCACTTATCTCTGTGCAGTCATTAATCCAATACATTGTCCTGTTATGACTAAGCAGCAGAGCCGCACCTCAAACAGAAATAGCATGGTCCATGGAAGTGCATTGCAATAAAAAAATAAAAAAAAAAGAAAAGAAAAAAAGTACTTTCTGCAGGGCTTGCTATCTCTGATTGTGATGCTCGTGATGTGACCATCTCTGACATTCTCTAACAATCAGTGGGTACTACTGAAACATGAGCAGCAGAGTGAAATCTCTGCCTCTTCCTCTACAGGAACACACTTGGCAGCATATGAAGCAATATCTTCAGAGCCCTTGCTGTGGAACTTGTGGGTACTGAAAAGCATCAGGAAGCATGAAGGCACTTCTGGGTGCTTTCTCTTTTTGCTTCATCTCTCATCACGTACTGATTCTGCTGTAAGGATTTCA